GACCTATGCTTCAGGAACATCACTTGCCATCACTGTGGAGGGCAGAGAGACATGGGAAAAATCTTAAGGCAAGGAGACCACTTAGAAGGCAAGAACAAATTCAGTGCTAGGGAAAGAGATGGAGATATATAAGAAAGAAAAAATCAGCAATGCACTAGTATACACCAAAGCACAATTTGGGAAATTCCCAAAGCTAAAAGTGAGTTGCCATCAACTTACCAATGCAGTTAGGGAGTTCCTTTGATAAATGATTGCCCCCCCACCAATAGTTCTTTACTAAGTTATTAATGTTTTCAATTTTATCAAACACTGGGTCATTGAGTTTCATTATTTCTGAGTCTCCCTTGTTTAGTCTGTTCCACTGATCTACTTTTCTCTTTTAAAATCAATATAAAATGGTTTTGCTACTTTGTAATATAGTTTGAGTTCAGAAAGTGCTGTCTTTCTTCCTTCCTTCCTTTTTTCATTTCTCTTGATAGTCTAGATTTTTGTTCCTCCAAATAAAATTTGTTATTATACTGAGTTCTATAAAGGAGCCCTTTTATAGTTTGATACAGCATTAAACTAGCGAATTTACTTTGATGTTAGTATCATTTTTATCATATTGGCATGGCCCAGCCATGAACAACTAAATATTCTTTTAGCTATTTAAGTTGTTCTTTATTTCATTTTTTAAATTAAGCTTTTATTGATGTCTTTTTTACATATTATGTGCTATCCATAATGTTGGAGATATAAATACAAGCAAAAATAAAGATATTCCTTGCCCTCAAGGAATTTACACTCTCATGGGGGAAGATAACACATAAAAGGGAGCAGAGTCATAAGCAGAGCTGGAAGAGGAATGAAGGATGGTTGGGTGAGGCTCAAAAATGAAATGCAAAAAGAGGACTGCAAAGATAGAAGGATGTTCCAGGGTAAGAATGCCCTAAGAGTTGACAAAACTTTAACTGATGAGACATGGTAGCAAAGTCAAGACAGTCAGAAGCAGAGTCAAGAGAGGAATAAAGGCTATGTAGCCTGGGCCCTTCCTCAAATGGAGGTTCTTAGAAGAACTCACCAGGAAAAGAAAGAAGCAGAAGGGCTGAAGAAGCTTCCAGGAACTTCTCTCTTTCAGAAGAGAAGCAGGTCATATATTTTTCTTTTCTTTTTTTTTTTCCCCCTTTATGCTGGGCAATCCAGGTTAAGTGACCTGCCCAGGGTCACAGAGCTAGTAAGTGTTGTAAGTCTGAGACCGCACTTGAACTCAGGTCCTCCTGATTTCAAGGCCAGAACTCTATCCTCTGCGCCACCTAGCTGCCCCAGGTCATATATTTTTCACAGTTATGTGTGGGAGATTGTATTCTTAACCAAACAAGGATTAGAAGCAAATATAAAAGGTAAAATAGACAACTTTTGCCTACATGAAACTAAAAAGCTTCTGCATGAACAAAATTATGCATTAAGGATTAAGCAAGGAAAAGGTAAAGTGGAAAAAAAATTTGTTATCAAATTTCTCAGATAAGAATTTAGTATCCAAGACATATTAAACAATTAATAGGTAATATATAAAACCAAAAATCATTCCCCAATGGGTAAGTGGTCAAAGAAACAAACAGTTCTCAAAAGAAGAATGACAATCTTTTAACAGGTATAAGAAAGAACAGTCCAAATCATCCTAAGAGAAACACATACTAGGTTAGTATCCCAAAAGAGATAAAAAGCAAAAAGGAAAAGGACTCATATGTGCAAAAATATTTGCAGCAACTCTCTTCTGGGAGTAAAGGATTAGAAGTCGAGGAGATCTCCACCAACTGGGGAATGGCTGAACAAGTTGTGGCACATGATTATGATGGAATACTACTGTACTATAAGAAACGATGAGTCAGATGCTCTCAGAAAGACCTGGACTTGCATGGGCTGATGCAAAGTGAAATGTACTGTACACAAAGTAACAGCAACATTGTTCAGCAATACAATAATCCAAGACAACTCTTAAGGACTTAAAATGAAAAATACTATTCATTCCCAGAGAAAGAACTGATGGAGTGTGAATAGAGATTAAAGATTCTTGAGTTTTTCTGGTCTATGTTTTCTTTCACATGACTATTATGGAAGAGTTTTGCATGACTACACATGTATAACCTATATTGAATTGCTTGCTTTCTCAATGGAGGGGGGGTTGGGAAGGAGGAAGGGAGAGAATTTGGAACTCAAAATTTTAAAAACAAAAGTTAAAAATTGTTTTTACTTTGGAGAGCAATTTGGAACTATACCAAAAGGGCTATAAAAATGTGCATACCCTTTGAACCAGCAATACCACTTCTAGGGCTGCATCCCAAAGAGATCATAAAAATGGGAAAAGGACCCACATATACAAAAATATTTATAGCAGCTCTTTTTGTGGTGGCAAAGAATTGGAAATTGAGGGTATACCCATCAATTGGGGAATGGTTGAACAAGTTGTGGTATATGGATGTAATGGCATACTATCTTGCTGTAAAAAATGATGAGGAAGTGGAATTCAGAAAAACCTAGAAAGACTTGTATGGACTGATGCTCAGTGAAGTGAGCAGAACCAGAAGAACATTGTACAAAATAACAGCCAAACTGTGCAATGACTAACGTTGATAGACTTAGCTCTTCTCAGCAATGCAAGGATCTAAGATCCAATGATTTCCCATGATGGAAAATGCTATCCAAGGGACAGCAGCTAAACCTATGAAACCTCACCAAGGTACTCAGAATTAATTAAGGTTAATTGAGTCAACTCATTTTAGAAAGTATTCATTCTGAATTCTTGAAGTGGGAAAAAGAAAAATAGGTGGAAATCCTTTTATGAACCAGCCCTTCCATGCACTTCTCATTTATGTGACAGAATAAAAATATTTGCCTTTTCAAAAAAAAAAAAAAAAAAAAGAAAATGCTATCCACATCCAGAGAAAGATCTATGGAATTTAAATGCAGATTGAAGCATACTAATTGCTTTTTTTTTCTTTCTTGTTTTGTTTCTTCTTTCTTGTGGTTCCTCCTATTGGTTCTAATTCTTCTTTACAACACGACTAATGTGAAAACATGTTTAATAGGAATGTACATGTAGAGCCTATATCAGATTGCACACCATCTTGGGTGGGGGGAGATTTAAAATTCAAAAGCTTATGGAAGTGATTGTTGAAAACTAAAAATAAATAAATTAATTTTAAAAAAGAATAGGGCAGGTTCTTTGCAAATACTAGAGTGTATTAGGTAAATTATTCATTTGGGTACATAAATAAATTACTATATTTTTCTACATATGCAGACAGCACTTATTTATATTATTTCAAGTTGCCTGATTGAGAATAATACATTGTTCATTCTCTTGGAAAAAAAAAAAAGCTTATGGAAGTGATCATTGAAAACTAAAACTAAATTAATTAATTAAAAATTGTTTTTACATGTAACTGGGGGAAAATAAAATACTAAATTAAAAAATAAGAGAAATGCAAATCAAAACAAACCCTGAGGTTTGACCTCACATTCAGCAAATCTGTAAAAACAAAAGGTAGGAATATTCAGTGTTGGAAGGGTTGGAGGAAGTCAAGCATACTAGTGCATCTGTGGTGGAGCTGTGAATTTGTAAGATCATTTTAGAAAACATTTTGTTAATTATACAAATAAAGTGACTAAAATTGTCATAGCCTTTGACCCAGAGGTTCCATTATTAGGCTTATACCTCAAGGAGGGCACTGTTAAGAAGAAATTTCCCTATATAGAAAAAGAAGACATGCTGTCCCACTCCTTTGTGTCAGAGGAAGAGGGAGGATGAAGGCAGAAGGTCCAGAGGTGTGGAATACTGCACATACACTCAAGTTTTTTCAGACCATTTTTGCCAATTTCTTTTTCCTTCCTCCTTTGCTTTAAAAAAAACAAACAAACTGTTATAAGGAATGGCTCTCTGAGAGGGGGAAGGATATAATGAAAAATTTTAGGTAATATAACAAGAAAAAATTATTTTAAAAAGATTATGACAGAATAAAGAAAATTCAGAGTTCTTAAACATATTAGTGGAGCACTTGTAACTGGATGTCCCGTAGCCTTCTTAAATTCAGTATGTCCAAAACAGAACTCATTTTTCACCCCAAATCCTCTTCCCTTCTGAACTTCCCTGTTACTACAGAGGGTACCAACATCCCCCCAGGACCCAGGTTCCAAGGTATCATCCGTGATTCCCCCCTCTCATTCTCCCCACATATCCAATCCATTGCAAAGTCCTTCTACCTCTACCACATCTCTTGTAGACAACTAATTCTCCCTGCTCCCACAGCCACCAGTGTAGTCCAAGCCCTCATCACCTCTTTCCTGGCCCACTGCAATAGTATTCCAACTGGCCTCCCTGCCTCAGGTCTCTCCCTATTCCAATCTATTCACTACTCTGCTGCCAAGATGTAGGTCTGAGCACATCCCTGCTCTGCTCAGTGAGCTCCACTTCCTTCCTATTTACTCCAGGCTCAAATACAATGTTCCATTTAAAGTGCCTCTCAACTGGGTCCCTTCCAGTATTTCCAGTCTTCCCACTCCACATTCTCATCCACACATTCTATATTCTAAATACATGGAGTATTCTAACTGCAGTTCCTCCAACGCAACATTTCCTCCCATCTCTATACCTTAGCACTTTTTTGTTTATTCGTTTTTCAAGCCTGTCTGATTCTTCATGACCCCTTTTGGGGTTTTCTTTGCAAGGATAGTGGAGTGGAGTGGTTTGCCATTTCTTTCTCCAGCTCATTTTACAGATGAGGAAACTAAGGCAAACAGGGTTAAGAGACTTGCCCAGGATCACACAGTCAGTAAGTGTCTGAGGCCAGATTTGAACTCAGGAAAATGAGTCTTTCTGACTCCAGGCTCAGTGCTCTACGCACTATGGCACCCTCCTCTCTTAGCTGCCATGCCTCAGTACTGGTTGCCCCATATGCCTGGAATGCTCTGCCCCTCTCCACTCTGTCTCGTAGCTTTCTTGGCTTTCAGGATTTTAAACTTACCCTATTAAACACAGGTAACATCATATAAAGTTTTTCTTCTTGTTCTTTCTGAGTCATATGCCGAGGAGGATGGCAGAGTTCAGTAAAGAGGCGCCGAAGGTGCATCAGTCCTAACGCATTATCCTGTGGGCTGCACTCTTCCTGGCGAGGCCGGCCCATAATCCTCTTCACCATATTCATCTTGGCCAGTTTATAAGAATCACCAGAATCCTGAAAGGACAAGTTAAATAAAATTAAGTTGAAACAAAACCCCCCAAAAAACAAATTAGCTGCAATATACCATAGCCATAGTAAAAACGTAAAAAAAGAAAAGATTTTCTGCCAATTTTACACAATTTGTTCCATCTAACTACAGTTGATGATTGCCCTTTTCTATAGTTCAAATGACCTTTAAACTAGATCAATCAACAAGTTTTTATGAAGAATTGATTAACATTCTAAGAGTTCAAGTTTCTTTTCCATCAGCAAACAAACTGGAAAAAGCAAAGGCTACTTACAAGAAAAATTACACGAAAGCAATATTATGACAGATTACAAACCGAAACTCTAAGAAAACTATACTACTCAAAGAACTACTACTAGGTCTCTATTGACTATATCAAAAATGAGTCCAGATACAAATTAACAAAATAATTTTTAAAAAAAGATCTCTAAATGGTTTACAGATATCACGTTAATTAAAAACCTATGTGAAGCATAAACCTGTGGATAACATTTTTTACTGCTAGCATGTCTTTCAATTTCTAAGAATAAATGTCTAGAAGGAAAAAACCCAGACATTTATTCAAATCAAGAAAGCTTAAAATTGAGTCATTAAAAAGAATTTCCCTTACAACTTAGTTTATTTTTTAAAAGGCGTGTTCAAATACTAATACCCATTAAGAAGCATTTTCTCAGAATCACAGAGTTGGGATAGATTCCAAGAGAAATCTCCACTACAATATACCTGAGAAGTGACCATCCAAGCCTCTTGTGAGTGAAGACTATAACAAAGGGGCCCAGACTCCCCTTCCCTGCTGGTAGTTCTGTTGGGAAGAACATTCCTCTTCTCAGGTTCCTCCTCTGGCTCCTGGTTCTCCCTTGGAGAACTCTCAGACTCTACGGCACTTCAGATGAGTCAAAGCCAATGAGTCTGTTAACCTTTCAAGGCCTTATCAATAAAATGAGTGGATTAGATTAGGTGACCTATGAGGTCCTTCCTGCTCCAAACATATGGTCCATGACTCCTACACCACAGGAACACTTTGTACTTTTCTCCTCAAGCTTCCTACACTACCACCTTCCCATTTCCTTTCAACAGAGGGTCTTCCTTGTCTCCTATTTTACCAAGAAAATGGAGGGGTACAGTGTGATACATCATTTCTTCTCTCCTGTTTTATACATCAAAACTCTTAATGACACCTCCCATTGTCTCCTTCTTTGCTCCAGTCTCTGATGAAGAGACAGCCTTTCTCTTTCCCAAGACTCACCCCCTCAGAATGGCCCCTTTGCTCCTACAGCCATGCCAAGGGCTGACTCACATCCTTACAAAGTCTTCCTTTGACACAGCCATCCATTCCCCGAAGCCCATCACTGCCAAACTCCACCAATATCCTCTTGCCTGTTTCCTCTCTACAGGGGAGAAGGATCGGCCATCCCCAACTGCCACCCGCAGGGTAGGGTGAGATAGCCTGGTAGAAGTAGCAAGGCCTCTCGCAGGAGACAGGAGGCAGCATGTGCCACTCCATCTGAGTCACCACCACCCCAATCTTGACCATCATCTCCCTTCAGCCTGTGATGGAGATAGCTCATGAGCCTGAACCAAAGAGCCTTGGGAACAGTAATGCTTCCAGTCCAGTGCCCTCGGCCATCATCCTGAGAACCTACCCCCAAGATGCAGCCTGGCCCCTGAAGGTGCTACAGCCACAGCTACTAATGACCCAGAAAGGCCTTGGCACTATCAAATAGCCCAACATCAGAAACTGACATGTTTTTATCAGTAGTAATGATATTAAAAGAGGCATCTACATCTGCTTAGCTGTGGCACCCAAAGGACAAAGGCACATTTCCATCTAATTTGCAACTAAAACATTCTCCCTTATTAGAGTAAGAGCTCAGAGAGAACAGACACTGTCTTACTTTTCTATTCATTTCCCCAGCATTTAGCTCAGTGTTTTGCACAAAGTAAGTGATTAATAAATGCTTTATTTATTCATTCATATATACAGCTGGATCTGCATGATTGTTGCTGATAAATGAACCCATGGGAGCTGATGAGATCGCCAAGCACAATACAGGTGTGAGAAAAAGGGAGGGCCCAGTACAGAGATCTGGGAAAATCCAAGGTCAGTAGGCATGACATGGACAGAGGACCATCAAATGACAGTGAGAAGGAGAGCTTAGGCAGACAGGATGAGAACAACACGGCGCCAAAACTAGAGAACAAGGTGATCAACAGTGTGGCCAAACACTGTGGATATCGAGGACCGACAAAAGGACAACAGACTTTATAACTAGTAAATCACTGATAATTTAGAGAGAACAGTTTTAATTAAATGAAAAAGTCAGAAGCCAGAATGCAGAGGGTCTGATAAAAGTGAGGGAGAGAGAAAAGGGGGCCACCAAATGTAGAGTTTTCTCAAGAAGTGTAGCCACTGAAATAGAAAAAAGATGAGGGTCAAAGCACAAGGGAATCACCATTGAAGTAAGAGTTTTTGTTTTTCCACTTTTTAAAGGAGCTGCTTGGCTAAGAGGAGCCTGAACAGAAGAGAAAAAGGAGGGATGACAGTAGGGGAAATCTGCTGGAGAGATTAAGAAGGGATAAAATCATGAGTACATGTAGAATTGTTAGCTTTGGCCACAAGGAAGGATGAGACAGTAAGGAAAAGTGGTCTGAATGATTTGATGTGAGGAAGAAGAGGAAAGACAAGGGAGCCCTCAATCAATGGTTTCAACTTTTTAGTTGAAATATAGGAAATCGAATATTCATGATACTTGACTGAGAAGGTGGGGTAGAATACTAAGGGAGAGGAGAGATAAGAAAGTCTAGAAGAATCGCTGAGGAGAGTAGGATAACAAACTGATTAAGAAGGAAAGGAATGTCTGCCTTGCAGCAGGGCAAGGGCCCAGTTGAGATTAGATAACATAAATCTGCAGTGGAGCATTATTTTGTCATTTCCTCCAGCTCCATTCAGTACCAAGTGAATGGGAGAGGAGGCAGACAGTAAGAGTAACCCAGGGGTGGGGTTTAATATGTGGTTGGTAAAAGGACAAGGTGTTAAGGAACTGGAGAGCAGAGGATATCGTCCAACTGAGTAGGTTCACCAAAGGATCAAGAAGGGAAAGAGAGGAGAGGACCTGAGAAAACAGAGGAACGGAAGGAATGAACTTCAGGGTGAAGACAAAGAACCGGGTGAACAGTCATAAAGCAAGGAAAGAGAAAATAATAAAAGACGATGCATAAAGGAATTTCAGGATTTGAAAACAAAAAAGTAGAACCCCTGTGGATGCTGGCAAAATCAGAAATGTGACCATCTCAATGGCTAAGATGTAGTGAAGGAATTTAACTATGTACCTGACAAGGGCCATCTCCAGTCACCCTATCTACATCTTGCCACTGGACCCAGATGGCTCGAGGAGAAAGTGAGGTTGGTGACTTTGCAGAGCCCTGCCTCATTTAAATCCAATTCACTTCCAAGTAATGACATCACCTTCCCAATGTCATGGTCCTCTTCAAAAGCAAAGGACAAACAGTAATCCGTGAGTGGTAGTAACTGCCCCACTGGGGACCCAACTGGCCAGTTCCAGTAAGGCTACACACTTCCCTCCCTCCCTCCTTCCTTTCTTTTCTCCTCTCCCTTATTCCCTTCTCTCCCTCTGTCCATACAGGGAACAATACCCTTATCTTCCAGTGCTCTGCCCAAAAGAATGCAAATTTTGATCACTGACACCTAGCAAAATATCTTGGCGTTGACAAGCTATTTTTCTTTTTTAAGGATCATGCCCTAAACCCAAATCACTCTGATTCTCATCAACTGGCCAACAATAGGTCCCAGCCCAAGCCTCATTTGGTCAACGTTTGGGCTCTGAAAGCACAGGATAAGTGCAAACAGAAATTGTTTGTGTTTAGGCCAGAAATCTTTCCCTCCCAGATAGTTTTTTCTTTTGTTTGTTTGTTTTTGACTAGCTAAAAGAGGTCATTCTTTGCCTCATTTCTTATCTAGCCTTATTCACTGAATGGGCAATGCCTCAGATAAAGAGAACCAGGAAAGACCTTAGTTTAAAGAGGCCAAGGTCTCCCACTGCATCCAGGGCCATCTCCAGTAGTCCTGGTCTATATTTTGTCACTGGACCAAGAAGGCTGTGGAGGACAAGAGTGAGGCTGGTGAGTTTGCACAGCCTGACTCACTTAAATCCAATTCATTTGCAAGTCATGATATCACCTTCTTGATGTCATGGCTCTCTTTAAGAACAAAGGACAAACAACATCTATCTAACAATAAAATGTTAATATGATACTTTTAATAATTTATTTAAATGATCAACCAAGTAATTAGCATCATTAGGTTGTATTACATATCTTTAAAAGGTAGAAATCCTTTAAATTAAATAATAAAAGTTAAAACAAAAAAATGCTTTGAATTAAGATTATATGTTAAATAATGGTAAATAATTAAAGTGTTTTTATTGCCCATCTAGAAAATCAAAAATAACTAATTAAAGCATAAAAATTATATAAAATATTATACTAAATAGCTAATAAATACCTGAAAACCTTTTCTCTCTTTTCTGCCTTGAATTACATGGAAAAAGAAAAAAGAAAAAGCCATATGCCCCAGAAAATCTTAGAATTGTTATTGCAAAATTTGAAATAGAATCTCAGTATTTTAATTTTTATTTAAAAAGTCCTAAATACCATATAAGGTAGCATGGGTGGCAGGGTGGATTAGAGAACAAGGTTGTTAAACCACTACATTTGCCCTTTTCACCATACTAATTCATTACTTCAACTTCCACTTTGCATCTGCTGCCCTACCTGATTGCAATTCCAGGGAACAAGATGCTCCTCCTAGGAAAAGCTATTCACTTCTAAACTTATCTTCATGCTGGTAACTCAAGCTTTGATTGACATCACTTCCTTCAGCTCTCTCTCCCCTCTGATTGGAGGGCTGGAGGGTGGCGTATCAAACTCCTCCCAATGCCTTCCCTTATAGAGGACAGAAAATGGACTC